AAGAGTGCTGCAGTTTGGAGTAAATGTCAGAAGGTAGAAAAGATACCAAAAGATTTTGTTTTTTTTTCCTCAAATAGTAAGCTTTCTCCCTTTTTCAAATTCTCCAATCCAACAGTAAGCTATCTCTCTCTTTTTCTCTCTCTCTCATGGAAGTATCCTAGTTTGTTATGGAAGTATGCTAGTTTGGTTTTCATATGTTTTTTAAGTGTATATATATTATTTATTTATTTTTATATATAGTGCGCCCTTTTTTTTTCGCGCCTCACGCTTAAGCTCCAGAGGTCTATTGGGCTTTGGTGTGCCTCGAGCTTTTTAAAACACTGTCAGAGACAACAAGTGAAATAGTTGAAGAAGTAGGAATAGAAGATGGGTTTCCAGTATTTTCAATTTCATTTCTCGGAGTCTCAGATTGGCTATGTGAAGGATTAACTATTTGGTCTTCATTTATTTGATTGAATTTTCTTCTAGAATAAAATTTAAACTCAGAAACTTGATTAGTAGAATCATCCTGTAGTATTTCTTCCCCTGAATGAGAAGTTTCTACACTAGGTATCAAAGGACTAGTAGAATTAGGAGAAATAGTATTAGGAAGAGGAATCGAAATATTCCAAAAATTATCTTCCACATTTGATTTCTCTCCCGAAGAGAATTTTGGGTAAAATATGGTTGTTTTTCTAAAAAAGACAAGAAAAAATTTCTTGGTCTGAGGATCAAAACATTTATAATCCTTTTGACTTGAAGAATAACCCAAAAATATACATTTAATAGCTCTAAAATCAAGTTTCGACTAAGATTGACCAGTTATGTGAACATATGAGGTACACCCAAAAACCTTGAGAGGTAAGTTAGAATAAATACGAGACGTTGGAAAAATATATTTAAAGGGGAGTTTTGAAATTTAAAACTTTACTAGGCATCCTATTTATTAGGTAGGTAATGGTAAGAATGCCTTCCCCCTATAAATATTTCGGAATATGCATGGAAAACATTATAGCACGTGCTACTTCAAGTAAATGTCTATTTTTTCTTTCAGCAATCCCATTTTGTTGAGGAGTATCCCGACAAGTGGATTGATGAACAATACGTTTGTCTTTCAAAAAATCACCAAAAACTTCATTGAAATACTCAGTGCCATTATCAGAGTGTAAAATGTAAATTTTGGTTTGAAATTGAGTTTCAATCATATTGTAACAGTGTTTAAAAATATCTTTCACCTCAGATTTTTTTGTCATTAAATAAACCCAAGATAGACGAGTATGATCGTCAATAAAGGTAACAAACCATCTTTTTCCACTATGAGTACTAATTCTAGAGGGACCCCAAACATCACTATGAATTAAATAAAACGGTTTGGAAGTTTTGTAAGGTTTTGGGGAATATGTGGAATGGTGATCTTTTGCTAGAATGCAACTTTCACAATCAAAAGAGGAACTGGGATGTCCTAGTCTAAGATGCCAAAGCATAATTTTTTCTTTAATCGAGAGGGAACTAATATTACTAAGATCCTGAGTTATTTCATTACTAAAAGAACCTTCATCAAAGTAGTAAAGACCATCAAGCATCCTTGCAGATCTAATTATCTTCCCCGATGTCTGATTCTGAAAATACAATGAGATTCAAAGAAAGTAACACGGTAGTTAGAATCTTTAGAAAGTTTGTTAACAGATAAAAGGTTACAGGTCAATTTAATTGTTCCTTT